ACAGCTTTCTGGAACACCTCCAACCTCACCTTTGGCGATACATCTATTGTAATTAACGATGCACACTCGAGAGTGTGGGAGGTAGAGTGAGAACCGGCGGCCTCTTGACTATGACCAAGAAAACCTGTGGAACTCTCTCTTGTGGAGGCATTTTTCGAATAGAGAAACTCATCGGGAGGGTATGGCCTAACTGTTGGAAAGAGTCCTGGAAGTAGAATTCTGTGCTCTGGTGCGAGTCCCCAGGGACTCGCGGGGCATAAAGGGCAGGGAACACAGAGTTGGCATCCATGGGCTCCACAGAGGGACAGGAGGTGGGCGAGCCAGGCCTGCCACTGGCGAGCGGGCCCCCAGCATCACAGCGGCATCCTCCTCACTACAGAACCTGCCACACCTGGCGGTGTGGGCCTGCATCTCTGGGGAAGCCATTCTACAGTTGAAGCCGAGCTGACTCCCTTGGACCTGTCAAGGCAACCATTCTGGATGAAAACCTTAAAGAATTGCTGACGCCTTCTCCAGCTTTCCTCGAAAGAGGATCCTGAGCCGACTTTAAACTCTGAAGGGTGCCCCATCATTCACTGCTGTGGAGAATGGTGCCCTCAGGTCTGTTCAGATGGATACAGATAGCTCTTTGCTTTTGCTCAAAAGGGCCCCCAAATCCCAGGCTTTGGGAATTCATCGGTCTGATTTTTCTGTTTATTCTCTTGGTTCCCCCTGATGTTTCCACTGTGAAACTGTATTACTAGAAAACAGGCAAGTGCCTCCAGCCGCCTTCTTCTATATTCCTTCTGAACTGTTTCCAGTGTTCTTGGTCCGGGAAACAAAATCATTAGCCTTGTAAGAATTGCGTGTGAAGCAAGAGTCAGTAGATCTGGAGTGAGGAAGTCCTGACACGCTCTCCTCTGAATTAAGGGACACCTGTGACTGTGTAGAGGCTTCTGTCTTATCTTTCAGGTCCTTGATTTGCTCCAGCCTAGAAAAACTGACCTCCAGAGGACAACAGCATGTATAATCTGTGCCTAAGATCTTTGCCAAGGTCACTTACGTCAGGAGAAAATGATATGTGTACTAAGTTAATTTTAGCTCAAATATGGCCACACACACACACACACACACACACACACACACACACACACCTATACCTACCTCACAACACACATAGCAATGAAAGACAAAGCCACAAAACAGATTCGCCTGCTTTTTCACTTTTATATCTCTGTATCCTAAAAAGTTTTCTATGGATACATAATCCAAATCAAAACATTTTCAAGTTGGAAAGAACTTTCCAAGTCATTTAGTGTTGCTCCCCATTTTAGTTCAGAATCTCCCTACCTCCTGGACAGGTGGGCACTTTATGCCCTCTGCATGGTGCTGGTAATAAGGAGTGCTGTGTTTTTTTTTAAGCCTGACAGGAAGTAATGACACTATACCCCCACTACATCTGATCTGCATTTTGTGTGCAGATGTAATGCTTTTGGTGCTGTTTTTAAAATGTTTGTTTATTTATTTTGAGAGAAAGACAGAGAGTGAGAACATGCATGAGCAGGGGAAGAGGCAGAAGGAGAGGGTGAGAGAGAATCCTAAGCAGGCTCCATGCTCAGCACAGAGCCTGACTCTTGGGGCTCAATCTCACAATTGACTGTAAGATCATGACCTGAGTCAAAATCAAGAGTTGTAGGGGCGCCTGGGTGGTTCAGTTGGTTAAGCATCCGACTTTGGCTCAGGTCATGATCTCGCGGTTTGTGGGTTCGAGCCCCGCATCGGGCTCTGTGCTGACAGCCAGCTCAGAGCCTGGAGCCTGCTTCGGATTCCGTATCTCCCTCTCTCTCTGACCCTCTCCCACTCACACTGTCTCTCTCTCTCAGAAATAAATAAAACATTTAAAAAATTTAAAAAAAATCAAGAGTTGTATGCTCAACCAAGCCACACAGGCACCCCTCTGGTACTGTTTTATTATTTTTTAATTTAAAAAAATTTTTTTAATGTTTATTTTTGAGAGAGAGAAATAGAGACAGAGACATAGTGTGAGCAGGCGGGGAAGGTGGGCAAGGAGGGCCAGAGAAAGAAAGAGGGAGACACACAATCTGAAGCAGGCTCCAGGCTCTGAGCTGTCAACACAGAGCCCCATGCGGGGCTTGAACCCACAAACCACCAGAACATGAACCTGAACTGAAGTCAGATGCTTAACCAACTGAGCCACCCAGGGAATCCCATTCTTGCACTGTTCTAATGCAGCGTGCATTTATGTGAATGAAGGTCAGATCTTCCCTGTCTATAGGGGTGGATATTCCTGCTGTCGTTCACCTTGGAAAAAGGTGGGTCTGAGATAGAAACTGCAGAGCCTAGCTTAGCTGAAGAGGGAACTTCTATTTCTCTGCAACTTATGTTTCGGGCCTGAACCTCAGACATTTTGGAGTTGAGTCCATCCGGGCGGAAGTAGGACTAAGGGGCACTGTCCCAGGGAAGGAGGCGGTAAACATCCTGTAGGGAACATAAAGGGAAGATGAGTGAGTCATGTCTTAACAACAATATGACCTGGATTCACAATACTCTTTGTTTATTTCCCTCTTGTCATCCCTGAGCCTTTGGAAAAGTCCAGCTTAAATGTTCCAGCCTGACCCTGCTGTGTAATGGCGTTAAAAGAAGAGTTGAGAGTCAGTGTTTATATCCCTAGGACGTTAGAGGGCAAATCGTGCCCTCTGAGGCCACATGGGTTTCCAGTGACTACTAAAGGGCGCTTAAATGTGAATACTGCCTAGATTTGGGCCCCAGGGTGCCACCTACTCCTCTCCACGTGGTGATTCACTCATCACTGCCATCCTTTAATTAAGAAAACTGCCAGATTTCCTACAAAAGTAATCCCTTAAATTTGGCCTGAAATCTGCTTCCCAGTAACATTTACCCCCAGGACTTGGTCTTTTCTCCCAGAACTGCAGAAAACAATCATCATAATTGTTCACATTCTTTGAGTACTTACTACGTGCTGCGCATTTTACTGCACGCTGTGTTGTGTCTCGTTCACATCATTATCCCATTTTCCAGAAGGAGAAATTGAGGCTGAGGGAGGCCAAATCATTTGCCCAAGGCCCGACCCCAAAGAAGTGGCAGGATTTGAACACATGCAGTTTGATGTCGGTTCACAGTCTTGAACTCTTAGAGATTCTGCTGGTCTTCTTCCTATGATACCTCCCCATCCCCACCCCTGAGATCTGCAGCCTGCGAGCTTGCCTCCCCAGACCTTTTTCTCTCCAGGCTGCATCCCTACCCCACCTCCCTTGCCATTTCTCCTTGTGCCATTTCTCCATGTCCTCCTGACCGAGGACAATGCGCAGAATGCAAAGCCCAAGTCCATCGCACCTCCTGTGACTTGTCCCACTTTGACCCCCCCAGGACAGCCTTCAGGCTGAAGTCTCTGGAAGCACCGATTTAGCAGCATTCCCCTTAGGAGAGTGTATTTTTCCTGTCTGTCCTCAACATTTCTTTTGCCAGAAAAACAGGCTCAGTTTTCCCTTCTGATAAATCTGGTCACCCTAAATCTGGGGCTTTGAGCAAACAGGAGCGGCCGGCCCCACGCAGCCCTCATTTCAAAATGTGGATTCACTTGGGATGCTGTTTTAGAGGTCTGGTTTCATTCCCCACACACAGTGGTTTTGAGGAAGAGGGAAGGGATCACACACGACAGAATACTAACAGGGTAAAGATGCTGGCAGGGAAACCACACCTGGGCAGTCTGTTTCCCCAAGTCCCCCAAACATTGGCCTTTGGAGAAGCTCTGAAAAGGAGGGTCCTTGGTCACATGAAATTGGAAAGTACAGCTTTACTAACTCCCCTCCTGGAGATCAGCATACCCAACATTTGAAGCCCTGGCCATAGAGAAGCCTAACTGCTTTGTTTTATTCAGTTTCCCAATTTACAAGTGTAGCCTAGTAAAACATTGGAAGTTGCAAAAGGCACCCGGATGGCCTAAAATAGTCCTCAGATAGGTTTGAGTTGGCCAGTGCGGTGCTTAAATGCGCTTGAAATTAGTTGCGAGCACATAACAGTTGGAATATTTCTCATAATAATTTGGGTTTGGGTGTCCTTAGAAAATGCGAAGATCTGGAAACACTGGTCCACATTCCTGCATGACAATGGTCAGTGGGACACAGGGCTGTGGTCTTCAGCTCACGGTGGCCCCTGCCTCCCTCTGGCAATACACCATTCCCCTGCTTCACTCATTTATGATACCTGCCTGGCTCAGGAGTCTCTGGGGGCTTGCCTTCTCTGCTCTGGTGATTTCCTTAGTGCGAGCTGGCCTGCAGGAAGTGGAGGCCCATTCATCCACGGACTCCTGCAACATGTACTGATGGAGTTTCTGGACCCCGTGGACACAAGATGTATTCAACAGCCCCAGCCCTCTGGATTTCAGCGCTGGCGTTCTTGCTGGCAACCGAACCGCAGGATGGGGAGGGGGAGGGATTGAGGAGAGGGAAGCTGGCAAAGGCTTGAACCTAGCTTACAGATTTCCAGGCCGCCCCCGCCCCCGCCCCCGGACCCCCACTCCCCCGTGCCTGTCCCAGTCCCCTGGCTTGCTAAAGTCATCCCTAGTCTCCACTGCTGTCTCTACCGCCACTCTAACAGCCACTGAGCACCAGGGAAGAAGCTACTAGCATGCTCTGTGACTTACACGAGGTCCCACCCATCTCAGGGCCTCAGTTTCTCCAATTGCAGAGTGGCCCGGTTGGAATAGAAAACTATGCGCGTCCCTTTCCAGGGCTGGCAAGCAGAGATGCTAAGACTCCAAGATCGAGGAATGTCTGACCGGGCCATTTCGGAGCTGTTCCATTGAACTCCAAGCAGCCCCTCTCCCTCCTTTTCCCGGCCTGGGCCCGGGAGGGGGCCGGAGCCAGAGGGACGCCCGGGCCTGGGCTTCCCGCCCGGGGGCGGAGCCGCTGCTCAAGGTCCCGCCCCTCCACCTGGGGTTCGGCCCCGGCAGATGTTACAACTTTCTCGCATTCTCTCCCGCGGTGTCCCCCCAGGCCCGCCCAACCCGTGCCTCCCTCCCCTTCCCCGCTGGGGTCCTGCCCGCCTCCCTGCGGGGAGCCCGACTGTTCTCAGCACTCCGGGCGGGGCGAGAGGCCGGGCTGGGGGCTGGAGGGTCGGGAGGAGGAGGAAGGGAAAGCAGAGGCGAGAGAAATTAGGAGGCGGGAGAAATCGAGGGCTAGTAGGAAGGCGAGAGTCGGAGGATGGTGGAGAGCACTTTTTGGAAGCCGCCACGCCGCGTCTCAGGCTGGCCCGGCTGAGCTGGGGGAGAGGGAGCGAGGGCGGCGCAGGGCGGGCGCGCAGGCGGCGCGAGGCGGCTCGGCGCGGGCCTGACCTCCCCGGAGCGCCCCGCTGCGGCCGCTCAGGTCCGGCCGCCGGTCCTGGGCCAGCCCCCGGGCCACCCCCGGGGCCGCTGAACGATCTCGCAGCGTCCAGGCCGGCCAGCCGGCGTGCGTGCGGGCCGTGCGCCCTGGGCGCGCGAGGCGGTGAGGCCCCGGGAACCCTGTGCGCCCGGACGCGCGGGCCGGCATGGCGATGCACGCCCTCACTGGCCTCTCGCTGGTCAGCCTGCTTAGCTTCGGCTACCTGTCCTGGGACTGGGCCAAGCCGAGCCTGGTGGCCGACGAGCCCGGGGAGGCGGGCGTGGAGCAGCCTTCAGCCGCTCCACCCCAGCCTCCCCATATCATCTTCATCCTCACCGACGACCAGGGCTACCACGACGTGGGCTACCATGGCTCAGATATAGAGACCCCGACGCTGGACCGGCTGGCAGCTGAGGGTGTCAAGTTGGAGAATTATTACATCCAGCCCATCTGCACGCCTTCCCGGAGCCAACTTCTCACTGGCAGGTAGGCACGACCCAGGCGGCTAGGGCGGCCTGTGCAAGCCCCAAATGAATCCGGTTTGGAGATTTCCTGTGCGTTCACAGCCCCGGCTACTCTGGGACCTGGGAAACCAGGACTCAGGGCCAGTTCTGAGACCCTCAGACACGACTGTTTCCAGTCGCCTGTGTGATCATGATTTATGTCCTTTACCCTTTCTGGGCCTCTGTTTCTCCAATGGTCCGCGGAGTGGATCTGATCATTTTTGAGGCCTCCTCCCTCTGATGTTCTAGGACACACGTGACACACCGTGTGAAGGAGACATCTGGTCATCCCCTTGTTGGAGGAACATGGCAGTCTCTGACCCACGTGGATTTTAACGCCACTTCTGTATACAGACCCTGAGGTCACGAGCAAGTCCTTTCCCTTCTCTAAGCCTCCGGTTTCTTGTGGGTTCATAAACGGAGTGAAGAGCAGTGTTTACGTGAAAAACAGAGGTGATGGGATGAGTTGTGTGTAACCTGCTTGGCTGGCGATAAATGGCAGCCCCTATATCACCGGAGGGATGAGGGTCCCCAAACTGTCTGAAGGCTGCGTGGAGAGGAAGCCCGGGGATGTATGGGGGAAGCAGAAGGACACAGGATGCTGAGACCTATGGAACCTCAGGCCAGTTACTTCATTTCTCCAGACCTCTGTGTTTTCGTCCGCGAAGTCCTCCGAAATTGGCCAGAAGTCCCAAGGAGATGTGCTGCTTTCTCCATAAGGAGTTGCCCACAAGGCAAGGTGGCGGGATTACCAGCTTAAAAGAGCAGGAAAACGGGAGGTGGGGGTGTGGAAGGCAAACTCTGGCCACTTAGGAGAAAATCCTTTGGCAAGGCTGAAGCTAATCCTCCTTGGATGGGGGCCAAGGCATGCCTTCTCCCAAGTTCCACCCAAAAGCCACTCGTATGATCTCAGGAACCAGAGCCTTGCTCTCCCTGTTTCTGGGTGGGAGAAACTGAGACATGGACTCAGGGAGGGCCCAATTCGTGCCTATAGTTGGTAGGGTCTTTAGGAGAGGGGGCCGAGAGGCCAGGTGGTTGGCGGGGGGCCCAGAGCCGAGAGTCAAAGAGGTGTCTTTTCTTCCCTCGCTCGGGCACTCAGCATTTAGCTCCAGAAATGGAGAGAGAGAATCAGAGAAGAGGGTGAGGGGCTGGTGTCTGTGCTGTGGGTGGGGGCATCGGTGGTGGTGGTGGTGGTGGTGGCAAAGCCCAAATGTTGCCGCGCCTCCAGAAGAGGGAGGAAGAATCTGCATCCCTGAGAACTGTGCACAAGTTAGCATTTCTCTCTCGAGAGAGGTGACTTTTGGTTTAAGCAGGGGAATGAGCAGCCAGCAGGGCACCCTTCCAACCCCCTGGTCTGTGAAGTTAGCTGAGTGTGGCCAGGCAGCGTCTGCCCTCCGCCCCCTGCCCCCCACAGCTGGCTCCGTCCAACTGATGCTGACTACTCTCATTAGTGTTTGTTCATGCATCCAGTCGTGTTTGACGAAGCTGGAGAGAGCCAGCATTTTCTCGTGTTACTCACTTCCAGACGAGCTTTGGCGACTCCGAGCTGGCCCACCCACTTTACAAACCAGGGCTCCGCCGTGCCCAGCCGAGGCTCCGGGCTGTGACTGGGCCCTACGGTACTGCCTCTGTTAAATGGAATCGTTCATGAGTTTGACTGAGAGGTTTTCAGCATGTGTTGTGCAGACTCGGGTTCAAAGCTCGGGGCAACTGCTTGCTAGCTGTCTGCAGTTGGGCCTGTGGCTGTACTTTTGTGAGCCTCAGTTCATCATCTGTAGAATGGGGATACTAATAGTCTCCCCTGTAAGTTTTTTATGAGGCTCAAATGAAATAATGTGTGTGGCATATAGTATTAAAAAATGGCAATAGTATGGGGCGCCTGGGTGGCTCAGTCGGTTGAGCGTCCGACTTCAGCTCAGGTCACAATCCCATGGTTTGAGGGTTCGAGCCCCACATCGGGCTCTGTGCTGACAGCTCAGAGCCCGGAGCCTACTTCGGATTCTGTGTCTCCCTCTCTCTCTGTCCCTCCCCCCACTTGCGCTCTGTCATTCTCTCTCTCTCTCTCAAAAGTAAATAAACATTAATAGATTAAAAGAAAAAAGAAAAGCTTTAAAAACATAATAAAAATGGCAGTAGTAGCTAAAGATAGCTAATAATAATAACAGCTTTAAGTTAAGGAAACTAAAAACAGGAAAGCTCACTCTAGTGCTTGCATTAAAGGTGTCAGGCATTCGGGTGTTGGCTTAACTTGGATTCCCCTGGGGTAAGAAAAAGGTGTGGGATGCTAAGACCCTGGTGAAGTTCCAGGCTCCTTATTTACTCTGGGACTTTTAAGACTTGAGTAAAGGCAGGATACCCTAAGCAGATCACCCAGGGGCCTTGACCACAGAAAGGATTTGAATGAATAAATGAGGAATATAGGATTCTGCTAACTATTCACTCCTGCCTCACAGCTTTAGTCTGTGTGAATGACCGGATCCAGGGGCCACATGAGCTTATGGGCAGGCATATGAGAATGGGCCTCATAAAATCTGGGAACTGAAAGGTTTCCAGAGATCTCCCATTCAACCCAACTCCCCCTTGTAGATGAGCAAACTGAGGCCACCATGGAGGAGGAGACACGACAGCCTAGTTTGCTGGAAGAGTCTGTGCTTGGACTTGGCTTGGATTTATGTTCAAGTCCTGGCTTTGCCTCTGACCACAGAGTGACCTTGGGCAAGGTCCTTCCCCTCCTCTGGAACTGTGTTTTTAAAATGGGGTAAATATGCTAGAAGTTGCCTTGGGTCCCTTCTGGTTCTAAAATCCTCTGAGTGCCATCACTCACTCATTCATTCATTCATTCATTCATCCCGTAAGTAATTGAGTGTCCTTTAAACATCACCTGAGTGGCAAGAACGCAAAGTTGAGTAAAGGACAACCCAATTACAGATGATTGGGCCCAAGCGCACATACAACTGAGTAGAACCCCATGATCAAGTAGGACAGTGATCATGTGTACTAAATGTTAACCCAGAAACAAAAGTGACTCATTCTTGGAGAGACTTATGAGAGACTTTACAGAGCGGGCAACATTTGGACTGGGCTTTGAAGAGGGAGTAGGAGTTTCCCTGAGAGGGCAGGACTTGCTCTAGGCCCCAGAGCAAAGTGGCTTAGAGCTCCGGGATTCTGAAGTCTCTGAAGCCTGCCTGGGATACAGATCCCAACTCCAGTTACAAATTGTTTGAATCACTGGGCGAGTGATTTAATTTCCCGAGCCTCAGTTTCCTTATTTGGAAGACGGGAATAATAATGATATGCATGCACTCCATAGGTTGGTGGGGATTTGGTGAGATAATTCATATAAGGGACTTAGCGCAATGCTGAGCACACAGGGAGTGCTTGGTGTTAGCTGCTATTGTTTTGTTGTCGTGATTAACCTGGGATCAACTAAACTCCCCGGCTTCCTAGCTGTGTGACCCTGGGCGAGTGGTTTAACCATTCTGATCTTCAGTCTCCCCATCTGCAAAATGACAATAATATCTGCTCAGCTGATTTTGAGGATTCAATGAGATGATGCATTTGAAATGTTTATCCCACGTGATAATACCTGTTGTATGTTTGCCGGAAGCACTGGGACCGGAGCCCCCCTCAGGGTGAGGCCTGGGGGCCGGTGGGCCAGAGCAGTGGTCTGTAGCTCACTCGGGCCTTTTTTGTTCTCCCCTCTTTCCACCAGGTACCAGATCCACACGGGGCTCCAGCACTCCATCATCCGCCCTCGGCAGCCCAACTGCCTGCCCCTGGACCAGGTGACGCTGCCCCAGAAGCTGCAGGAGGCAGGGTACTCTACCCACATGGTGGGCAAGTGGCACCTGGGCTTCTACCGGAAGGAGTGCCTGCCCACCCGCCGTGGCTTTGACACCTTCCTGGGCTCGCTCACGGGCAACGTGGACTACTACACCTATGACAACTGTGACGGGCCGGGGGTGTGCGGCTTTGACCTGCACGAGGGCGAGAGTGTGGCTTGGGGGCTCAGCGGCCAGTATTCCACTCTGCTCTATGCCCAGCGTGTCAGCCACATCCTAGCTAGCCACAGCCCCCGGCGGCCTCTCTTTCTCTACGTAGCCTTCCAGGCGGTGCACACGCCCCTGCAGTCCCCTCGTGAGTACCTGTACCGCTACCGCACCATGGGCAACGTGGCCCGGCGGAAGTATGCAGCCATGGTCACGTGCATGGATGAGGCTGTGCGCAACATCACCTGGGCCCTCAAGCGCTATGGTTTCTACAACAACAGTGTCATCATCTTCTCTAGTGACAATGGCGGCCAGACCTTCTCCGGGGGCAGCAACTGGCCGCTGCGGGGACGCAAGGGCACTTACTGGGAAGGTGGGGTGCGCGGCCTGGGCTTTGTCCACAGCCCCCTGCTCAAGCGGAAGCGCCGGACCAGCCGGGCACTGGTGCACATCACCGACTGGTACCCGACCCTGGTAGGTCTGGCCGGAGGCACCGCCTCGGTGGCCGATGGGCTGGACGGCTACGATGTGTGGCCGGCCATCAGTGAGGGCCAGGCCTCACCACGCACAGAGATCCTGCACAACATCGACCCGCTCTACAACCATGCGCGGCATGGCTCCCTGGAGGCCGGCTTCGGCATCTGGAACACTGCCGTGCAGGCCGCCATCCGCGTGGGCGAGTGGAAGCTGCTAACGGGCGACCCCGGCTACGGCGACTGGATCCCACCGCAGACGCTGGCCGCCTTTCCTGGCAGCTGGTGGAACCTCGAGCGTATGGCCAGTGCCCGCCAGGCAGTGTGGCTCTTCAATATCAGCGCCGACCCGTACGAACGGGAGGACCTGGCTGGCCAGCGACCTGACGTGGTCCGTGCCCTGCTGGCCCGTCTGGCAGACTATAACCGCACAGCCATCCCTGTGCGCTACCCGGCTGAGAATCCCCGGGCCCACCCTGACTTTAATGGGGGTGCCTGGGGGCCCTGGGCCAGTGATGAGGAAGAGGAGGAAGAGGCAGGCAGGGCTCGAAGCTTCTCCCGAGGGCGCCGCAAGAAAAAGTGCAAGATTTGCAAGCTGCGATCCTTTTTTCGTAAACTCAACACCAGGCTGATGTCACAGCGGATCTGATGGGGCGTGCAGGGGGGAGGTGAGGATCTCTGTCTCTCTAGATGTACTTCCCCATTCAAACCTGGCCCTGTTCCTCCCCAGGGAGAGGCCTGAGGCCAAGTCCCCATCTGCAGGGACATGGAGGGCATAGAGCCCCTCAAATGAAGGGTGCAGGGCTTGGCTTGGGGGAGAATAAACTAGATTGGGGTGCCTGGATTCCAATCCTGCCTGTCCACTGACTTGCTCTGTGACCTCAGGTGGTCTGCATGAGCTCACTGGGCCTCAGTTTCCTCATCTGTAAATGAGCTCTGTTGATTTTGTGGCTCTGTGATGTGAACCCGGGGGCTGGGGCCATGGTGGAGTTGCCGTTGACCTTGCCACCTCCCAGCTCATTTAAAAGCTCACGCTTGGGCCCTGCACTTCTGTGGTACTGCTTGGGTGAGGGGTCATGTGGAGGCAGCTTGAGGCGTGGACCCTAGCTGAGTCATGGCAATCTGGCCACTCTCTGAAGGGATCCTCTGATGCTGAGGGTGAGGGCGGGGGAGGGGAAGGGAGACAGGGCTGGCAGCTGACCTTCCGGGTCTTCACATGGCTTGGGCCAGCCCTGGGGCCACACTGGTGCTGGGGGCTGTGGCAGAAAGCTCTGTCCCCCAGCACCCAGAGGATCAACCTGGCTGTCAGCTGCTGCAGGATCAAGGGTGGTAGAAACGGCTGTGAAAAGAGGCCCTGAATCAATAGTCAGGACACTTGGGTGCTTCTTTGACCTTGGGCCCGGTCCTTCACCTGTGGGCCTCAGTTTCCCCATCTGCAAATCGGGGGTGCTAGCCTGAGCTCTGCCTACCTCACAGGGTCATAGAGAACTGGCCAAATTAATGGTGGTGGAGGAGCCCATGCACTTGATTAAAATGCAGTAACCTGGAAACCAGGGGTGCGGTGCTATCTATGAACACGCGGGGGTGTGCGCACGTGCGTCCTGAGGGCACGTGTGAGCTCACCATTGACCGAGCGAGTGGGAGAGGGGGTGGGCAGCCTGGCCGGGAAGCGGAATGTATGGGTTCCAGTCCATCTTGCCACAGGGCCACTGTGTGACCTCTGGCAACTCCTGGACCCTTTCCGGGCCTCAGTGTCCCTGTGTCCAATAGATGCTGTAGAAGCCCCTCCTCCCTGGTCATCCTGGATGGCCCCGTGCGTGTGTGCTGGGGGGCATGGGCCGAGGGGTGGGAGGAGGGGCGTGGGGGGATCAGAGCCTGCTCGCTGCAGAGCGCGTCTCCACGCGCACACTGCGTTCTGCAAATCTCCCTCCAGGTTCCAGTCGGTGCAGCGTGTGTAGGCGAAAGCCCTGCTGTGAATTTTGAAAATAGTTATTTTTGTCACTGGCAAAGGAGGCCTGTTAGGACTCGTCAGCTTGTGGATGAGCAGGACGGGTGGGGGGGGGGGTGCGGTGCAGCGGAGGGGGTTTGGGTATCGGTTCCAGAGCCGCATCCCTGCTGCAGAGGGAGCTGAGCCCGGGAGTGAGAGCCTGGCTCGGGGCTGCAGGACGGCGGTGACCACCCGTGTCCCGGGCCCCTTCCTCTGCCGCCTCCAGCTGCCTCTGTCTCTAGGGTGTCGATGCCTGGGCTATGCAGGGGCAGGGGCCAGAACAGGCCGAGGCCTCTGGGTTCCAGCCTACACAGCACCTCTGCCTGCCCAGGAGGGAGACTCTGAAGAAGATGGCGTTCCAGGCCCAGCGTGTCCCACACATAGGTTGTTCGTAGTCTGCCCCTTACCCAGGATTCTCCAGTGCTTCTCCCAGCTGTCTGGGCTGTGCCCTCCATGTGCGGCATGGAGCCAGGGCTTCCGGCAGCTCTGGGCCTGCACCAGTTGAGTGGAGGCCTGGGAGAGTTGGCCCTGCCTTAGGTGACCTCGCCTCCAGCTCCAGCCCTGCTTCACTTACACCCTTTGGGGGCCATAAGAGCAGGACCATAAAAGGCCCTTTATCCCTAGACACCAAGGCCTACCTGCGTGTGGTAACCTGGTCGCAAACAGAAAGTCCAGCCGGGGCTAGAGGCTGGCACCTGCCCCCAACACCCTGAGAAGGAAGCTGGGTCTGATCACAAGCCTGGCCTAGAGCTTGCCTGTCTCGGAGTCCTACCTAACCCGGAACCCAGCAGACAGCCCAGGAGCCCCACTCAAGCCCAGCAGTCCCCGAGCCTGCCTAACCAAGGTGCTGCCGGCTGCCCCAGGGCTGGGATCGGTGGAAGGTACCGGGGTAAAGAGCCACCGGGACTAGAGCATTGGGAGGGAAGGCTCAGCCTGCTGGCTGTGGTGTCGGCTCGGCCCAGGGGACAGCATGGCTCCTGCCCATCCCCTCCTGTCTCCTGTGGCCCCCGAGTTTCTCCCTGCCAGAGCACCTGGGTCTGGGCTCTGATTTAGGCCCCTGACTGGCACTGCTAGGGAGATGCTTGGATCACCTGGTGGGGAGGGGTGGGTGGGAGACCAGACCAAAGGGAGCTCTGGCCCCTTGGGTCACAGATCTGGGGGAAGAGTAGAGCCCAGAGATGCCAGACAGACCCTCTACTTCCCCTTTGGCTGGACCAGATGGCAAGAGATCCACCACCCAGATTAGAGACAGTGGTGGCCCTGTCCAAGCTGGGCCCTGCCTGTGGAGTCCTGGACAGGGGTGACTAGTGCCCCAGGAACCAGGAGGGAGCTCTGGACCTGGCTAGAGGGACAGGGCTCTTAGCCCCACCCTGGGCCTTGACCGTATTCCCTCCTCTCACTTGGTACGTAATGGCTACCTTAGGACCTAGGCAAGCAGTCCTGCAGCGCCAGAAAGAAGGAGGGCAGAGCAGGGGAAGGGAAGGAGCACTGTTCTGGGAGTCCAGAATTTTGGATGATGTCCGGACTCTGCTCCTGACTTCTGCTACTGAGGGAGGAAGCAGTATCTTCCTCTCTCTGGGCCTTGGTCTCCATCTGTGTGGGGCATGGGCTCCATCAGGGCCCTTTCAGCCCTCGTGTAGGTCAAAGAACATAGGGCAGGGGCACAGAGGTCACACAGACCCACATGGGTAAGTCACGTCACATCTCTGCAAACGAGGCAATGACCATGCCTATCTCACAGACATCCGTGGTGAGGTATAACTTGCTCAGTATGCTTAGCATGGGGCCTGGCTCTAAAGTGGAAATAACTATTTTTCATATTTTTGGAGTCCGTAAAGGAACAGCTTGTCGCTGTATTTCTAGGGAGGAGATGGAGGCCCCTGCCATAAGCATTCCCAGTCAACAATTGGACTTGAACTTGGGTCCTCTAACTGCAGGCTGTGCCGTGTGGACATTGGCCCAGCAGCCATTGTCCTCCGTCCCTTGGCTCCCTGCTTCCCTCCGCTCTGCCAGGATTGCCTCCCATGTGGGACCCCTCAGGGGACTGTGATGCTCCCCGAGCCCTCACTCTCTCCAGAGTGGAAGCCTGGCATCACTCACTGCCATTAATTAACCACATCACCCTCCAACTGGACCCTCTGCTGGATCATTTCTCTCTTGGCCCACTTTCCGCCGATTCGGCCCCCCATGCTCACTGCCCTTAGTGGGACAGGCCTCGTGGGGACCCTTCTGATGGCACGTTTTCTGTGGCACCTCCCAGGCCCTGCAGGATCCTGAGGCCCTCGGGCATGTGCATGAGAGTCTGTGTGTGGGCTGAGGAAGGTGGGATGACAGTAGGGCTGTCACAAAGCTCCCGGGGCTCTGATTCCCCCCCCACCCCCTCCCCACCTCTGCTATGGCCCAGGACCTTGGCCCTGATCCCGGGTTGTTTCCTTCCCCTCCCATATGCCTGGGGTATAGCTTGTGTTCACGTTCAGGTTCCCTATCTTAGCATGCATGTCACAACTGTGCTCAGTGACCTCTCGGGCTCCCGTCCCTGGCCACCAGCCTGGAGCACGCAGGCCAGCTCTGAGTGCCACATGAGCGTTACAGCCGGAGCACACGTGCTGGCTCGCATGCCTGCTGTGGCCGCGGGGAGTGGGGGGTCTGGCAGGAGCAGTCTCCCCATTGCCATCATCGGCTCATTCTCTTGGCATCACAGAGGCAGGCCTGGCTCCTCGCCGCCCGCCACCGGCAGGCCCAGCTGCCGGCCTCGCGGGCACGGGGGAGGCAGTGAATTAGCTGTCGCAGAGCGTGGCAGTTACCCTCCAGACGGGGGTGCCTGCCCGAGGCGGGGCCCACATCCCTGGGCTAAGCTCTCGAAGGTTCGGGGCACGTGGGGGCAGGGTGCGTGTGAGAGTTGCCAAGGAGACCTCTTGTCTTCTCCCTTCTCTCCATCCATCTCTCTGCCGCCAGGTACTGCACGTCCCCCAGCGCACACAGGGTCTGGGCCAGGCCAGCCCGGGAGGGAGAGAAGAGGTACGGAGCCCGGGGGCAGGAGGCGGGGAGGTGGAAACAAGAAAGGAGGTGAAAAGGAACAAGAAAGATAGGGAGGACTGAGAAGAAAGGGCTCAAGGGAGGGAAGGAAGAAAATGAGGAAAGGCAAGAAAGAGAAGAAGGAGAGGAGGAAGCAGAGCTGAAAGGGGAGACAGAGGTAGGGAAGCATGGACAGACAGGGTGAGGGGGTGACAGGGTGGCCGGGGGGCCAGGTTGCTCTTGCTCCCTGAATCCACACAGGCTACCTCCGTAGTCCCTGTCGGAGACAGGGAGAGAGCCGGCCATTAGCCTCTGTTCCTCTCGTCCCCCTGGCTCTTCCTGTGACCTAATGGTACCACCTCCCCACTTCCCGCCAGGTGCTCTGCCCTCTTCTGAACTTGCTTCACTTCATCACTGGGGACTGGGCATGGGGCGAGCCAGGAAACAGGGTGGTCAAGCCAGCTCCCAGCAGAGCAGGACTCTCACCTCCCTTGTGCAGAACTTCAGACTCCCATTTATACAGCCGCAGGGCACATTTGCTGTTTGTTTTATGGGTTAATTTCTAAAGCCCCATTAAGTTAAGTTGGCACCTGTGAGCTAAAGGGCTTGTGAGCCCTCTCCTAGCCTCTTTGTTCTAGTCATTTGTTTTCCTGGCAAAAGGCTGCAAACCAGGCTGGGCCAGGATGATGCTCAAACCATGAGCTCAACTCCAACGGGGACTCAGAGAACCGCACCACAACGTGCTAGGACTGAAGGATAGTGGTGTGTGCTTCCCCGGCTCAGAGCGGTGTGAGGAGGGAGAGGCTTCTGAGCCTCTTAATAGTAATAATTTCCCATCTATGAGCGCGCACAGTGTGCCAGCTACTGTGTTCATCTGCTCATGTCATTTAATCCTTAAACAGCCCTAGAGGTAGGGAAATTATGAACTCTATTTTGCGGATGAAGAAACTGAGGCACGGAGAAGGTAGGCTGCTCATCCAGTCACACAGTCTATAGATCATGGAGTTCCTCTCCTCTCCCCTGGACAATGACTGAGGGCGCTTCAGTGGTCACTAAGGGCTGCTGCAGCACCTTCACCAGGGGGAGCCATCTCCCGGGGAGGGCTAGAAAGTCTGGGCAGGGAGATGGGGGTGCGGTCCTTCCCCCACCTCCCCGCATCTGCCTCTCTTGCCTCTAGTGGTGTTCTGTGCCCAGCCCGCTCCCACCAGCTGTGCGCCCCCGAGCAAAGGCCTCTCTTCTCTGCCGCTGAATTGCGACGTTGGCGGCAGGAGCGGGAAGCGTATTGTGCGCAGAAACAAAACTGAGTGGTTTTTCCTTTTTCTGAAGGTGGTAATGGTGCAATTAGTGGCTAAGCCATTACCCCTCCTCCCTAGCTCGCCTCCCCCCTTCCCCTCGGCCTCCCTCCCATTTCTCTCCTGGGAAGAAGTGGCTGCATCGGAGAGCTAACCCCATCATTCTCTCTCACCCCCAACTCCCGGGAAGAGGGGCAGAATTGTGGGAGAGGGGACTCAGATGTCTCCTGGGGCTCCTGGACCTAAGGTAGTGAGTCAGGGACCTGCTAGGGCTGGGGATGACCGACGAGCAGACAATGCGTCCAGCATGCGAGATGACCAGTAAAGCAAGTTGGAGGCTCTGAGGGGTGGGGTAGAAATGAGGGTTTGGATCCTGGGTCCTTTTATCCGACCTGTGCTCACTGTGGGCAAATGCTGGCATGAGACCTCGGCCTGGTGGGCTGTGAAATGAGCTTGAGTGGAGGAGGTGGGTGTGAAATTCTGAGTCCAAGCGAGTGATGGGGGTGGTCATGGTCCCGCTTTAGACCTTCCTTTTCCTCTTCCAGAAACTAAAAAGAGGTCTCATGTTTACATACTTCCCAAAGGCTTCCACAGCCCTTAGCCCACTCCTTCTTCACCGCCTTCTTCTGCAGTGGCAGCTTTGTTCTGTTTTCTAGAAAGGGCGCTGGAGGCTCAGAGAGGGGCAGTGACTTTCCTAGGGTCACACAGCTAAGAAACGCCAGAGCTGGAGTTGAACTCGGATCCTTAAGTCCTGTCCTTTTCCTTCCTAAACCCCCAGGGCTTGGGTGAGATCTTGGGGCCACAGAGTTGGCTGCTGCCTTGATTTGGCAGGGAAAATGAGAAGGAGGAAAAGGGAATGAGGATTTCAGGGCAGGCCCATAGCCACTCCCCTCCATGCCAGGCCATGCTTCCCTTCCCACTGCCCGCCTCCGCCTCTTTCACCTTGACTTGAAGCACAAGCAGAAACTGGGACATGAGCCCCAGGAGACCAGATCTCCATGGTCCCACTGGGAACATGGGATGGAGGAGAGGGGTGGGGATGAGTGGGCAGGCAGGGCAGTCCCCTCCAGAATCCGGATGCCTCTTCTTCACTTGTCCCCCAAGCTAGAGTGCCAGTGTGATGGACAGGGTAGCAGAGACTGAGAGCAAATGAGGAAGCCAGAGGCGGAGGTCCGAACACAATATAGAGGGGAGCAGAGGGATAGTTCCGGACTACAGTGATCCACTGGGAGAGAGATCCCAATGAATTAGCCATCGCTTCCTGTAAACCTTAGAACCCGGCTGTTGCCAGGGCAACGGGGCAATACCTGTCTCTCCAGAGGAGATGAAGTTGCCAGGGTAACTGTATCCTGTCTTTCCTGGGGACCATCCCAGAATGTGGCACCCACCGGCCGTTACCATGGCAACTGCCTTTTTGCCCCACTTAATCCCATCCTGTCTGCTACAAGGGACCCACAGTTGGAGTGGGGGGAGGTGGGAAGAGAGAAGAGCACTTGTGGATTAAGTTTGTTCTTCTCCCCCTCTCCGGACCCCTCCCTCAGGCCATCACCCCGGGGGTGCCGGGTCCACCCGCCCTGGGCCCACACAGGCCTGCCGTATTCTGTGCGGTTCGGGCCAGGGCGTCCGGGAGCAGGTTTCGCAGTGGAAGGCAGGCAGGTGTTGGAGAAGCAGTTACCGGGGCAACGGGAACAGGGCGTTTCAGAGGTGGTTGCCATGGGGACCTGGATGCTGACGAAGGCTCGCGAGGCTGTGAGCAGCCACAGTGCCCTGCTCAGAAGCCCCGGGCTCGTCAGTCAAGCTGGTTCTCGGTTCGCGCTCGGCAGCACAGGCAGGCGAGTGGTCCCTAGTTGCGGGCGCCGAGCAGCAGAGCCCCCGTCCTGGTCCTCCAGCCCCAAGCCTCGCCTGCCCGCCCGGCACCAGGATGGCCACCATCACCTGCACCCGCTTCACGGAAGAGTACCAGCTCTTCGAGGAACTGGGAAAGTGAGTTGCACCTCAGAGAGTTCCGGAGGGCGCAGGGGGTCAGCGTCACGGGCAGGGGGTGTGCACCTGCGTGCTTCCCGTGCACACACAGGGAGGAAGTCTGCATGTGCCTGGGGACGCTTGCCCATGCGGAGTGCCCAGAGCTGGGTGGAGGCATGTTTGCGGGCACACAGATGTGCCAAGGCCAGCTGGGTGAGTGTGTGTGTAGGGGTGAAAGATTGATGGTGGATGCCGGTGCACACGCATGCATGCACACGCCGAGTGCACATGACTAGGCACACACAGATTTTTAGAAACTCAGGGTTAAAAAGAGATCTTCCTAGTCAGCTAAGTCCGGGGCTGGAACGCCCTGCGGACTTTCTCTCGAGGTGTTCATCTGGCCTCAACTTGGACGCCTCTGATGGGAGAATTTGCCCGCTCCCAGGCAGTCCTTCCTGACTTTCGGTACCAATGGCGACTGTGCCGAGTGGCCAACTTCTCCCCAAAAGCACATCCCCTCCCCACCCACCTCCTCCAAGCTCCTCTTGGAGTGAGGGCATCGGTAAAGCAGAGGTTAATAACCCAGGGACTGGTGAGGCTTCCTGGGTGTTGGGAGGTGGGGAGGGGCAGTCAGGCAAGTTGGGGGAGGCACTACCATTTCCCATTTCCGGGGCTGGCGATATACCAGCTCTGGTCCCTTGGTAAAGTTGTCCAGCTCCTGAGCTCATTTTATGCCTCTGATGATTGGCAGGGAGAGAAGGGTGGGAGGGGAGTGGGGAGGAAAGCCCCCCAGGGGCAGCCAGGTAGGTTGCAGGGTGTCCGGGAAACACCCTGGATACCCCCAGCTAGGTTTGTGGAGGAACTGGGGATGGATCAGGGTAGGAGTATAGTTTGGAGGTTGAGTTTGCCCCTTGGGCAAGGCAGCTTCAACGCCCTGGGTGGTCCTTGCTCCAGCAGCAGGGAGAGGAGCCCTGTGAGCAGATATGTGCTGGGGTGAGGTCTGGATGTGTGCCGTGTAAGGACCGACTCAGGGGTACACTTGTGTGCACTGTAGGGGTATGCAAGTGTTCACGTGTGTGCAGCAGGAGGTGTGCGCTTCATGTGGAAGGCCTCCAAGAGTGGGTGCGTGCAAGTGGCACAAGAGGTGCCACCGGCTGATTGCATGGGGGTGAAGGTGTGAATATGCGTCACTGCATGTGCCTGAGTGTGGCAGGACAGAGCTCTAATGCACGTCAACAGGCAAATGTGTGTGAGGTCTGGGTGTGTGCAAATGTCTGTGTCTGTGTAAGGATGTCTCTTTGTGTAAGGATCCTCGTGGGGGCCTTGGGCGCAGTGGTGCCTCTCTGAGGTCTGGACACACACATCCGGGTGTGGACCAGGGGCATGCACAGGGGAAGGTTTATGTGTGTGTGTGTGAGGCCTGGGCCAAAGGCTCGGGTGGGAGTGTGGGTGTTGAAGGCATGCGTGAGCTCATGCTGGTGTCTGCATATGTGTGAGAGATGGGCCTGTGGCTGCGTACAAGTAGGCTGCCTGCTCACGCACACACACGCTCACATCCCAGGCTATCCTGACACCCACAGGTGCGCACCAGGTCCCTGTATAGACACACACCCATGTGCAGACGTGTGCTCACTCTTGTCTGCAGGCCTCCTGTGTTTCTGAGTGTGTTTTTGAGCTGCTCCCGAGGACTGAAGCTGTGTGCTAAATGTGCGCAGGGTCCCTTCTCCGCTGGCTTCCGGTGCCCACTGGGGTTCACGGAGTCCCTGATTAGCTGTGATCTGCCTTCCAGAGTATGACCAAGGCTCGGCTCTGGGAGGGCTGCGTCACAAGGTGCAGTGAAATGGAGTTGAGATGTGACTCAGGCACTTAAAGTGAAAATAAAAGTGGTATTTTGCCCCAAGAGGAGATGGATATCATGAAGACTGGGTGTTGTGGGGGGTGCCCTCGGGAGCCTTCTCAAGCCCCCTGGCTGCCAGGACTGGGGGCAGGGGCAGAATTTCAGGGGACGGGGAGCCCTGGTGGGGCCGTGGGAGGAAAACCGAGGGTGGCAGGCATGGCCAGGCCTTGTCTAATCCATTTTAGACCTCTCCCTTCTAGAATCATGCGGGCTCCTAACCCTTTCTAGGTCGCATATTCCTCCAGGAATCTGACGAAAGCCTAAGTCTACATTCTCCAGAAGAAAAGTCCAAAACTATGAAATGTCGCGTGCAGTGTCAGGGGCTTGCAGGACATTAGGAAGGCTGTGATGGGCTTCAGGTTCACGATGCTTGGATTGGAAAGAGAACGAGGCTCCGCATCTCTTTTAACCCATGCCTGGGTTAGAAACACCAGGGTGTATTACTGAGCAGGCGGGGGGGGGGTGCCAGACGCACAGTGGGGCAGGTAGGGGTGGGCCCAGCACACGGCACCGGCTCTGGATCTCACCATCCAGAGCTCTGTGACACCGGCCAGACGACAGTCTGGAGATAAAAAATGGCTGTGCTGATGGAATAAGGGGGTACACGTGAAGATGTGGCCTGGCACCCACTGGGCCGTCAGCAAGGCCTGCTGCTAGAATCACTGTTGCCCTCGAAGGCTGGGCAGGCGGAAGCCCGCTGCCGGGGCCTCCTCATGTTTACCTTCCGTCTGGAGTTTGCCCAGCTTGGGGGAGGGGCCCGACCAAACTCCTCCGCTGCTGGGAGAAGTAGGGAAGATGCCTGCAGGGCCCGGCCTTCCATTCTTGACCCCTCAGTCCCTGCCAGCCGGGACACTGCGGTCACCACCCAGAAGGTGGGCGCCTTATCCAGGAGCCCGCTTCAGATCACTGGCAGGGTGACTTTCCGAGGCAGCTGGGTTGGCCCTGCGAGGAGACATGGGAGCCTTTGGAGCTCCTTCTGCAGGGCCCTGGGCTGCCCAGCTGGAGGGGAGGGCGTGTGCCTCTCGAGGGCTTCCTGGCATCCCACTCAGTGAGGACTGGCTGGGACCAGAGGCCTTCTAGGAGCCCAGACAGGGTGGGCTACAGATGTAACAGAAGCTGCCTCTGTCCCACCTGGCGGTCAGCCAGCTGGGTGGGGTGTGGTCTGGAGTCGGGGCAGCGGCTTCCAGAGCCCCTTGCTGCTCCTGGGCAAAGGCCCCAATGACTGATAAGCCAGGATCTCGATTCCAGGTCCCCTAGAAGCTAGTGCCCAGAGACTAGCTCAACTCACTCCTCCCTGACCTCCATCCTCCCTCCTCCCAAGAGATGAGAGAAAGAGGCCCAGACCTGAGGAGCACAGGGGCTCATTTGGAGGCGGACTGCAGTAATTCTGGCTTCGTGGTCAGGGTGGGCCTGGGCAGAGCTCCTGGCAGAGCCTACCTTCTAGGAAGGCCAGGATCGGGGGAGGGGGTCGGCTTCCAGAAGGCGGAGAAGGAGGATGCCTCTTCCAGCCTCTGACACCCTCTGGGCTTTGGAATCCCACCTCTAGGAGACGTTAGGGAGGCAGAGACTCGCTCTAGCAGCCTGTGTAATCACTGGCTGTACAGAGAGAGCCTCCGAAGCAGATTTTACTTGAGAGAGGGAGAGGGAGGGAGGGAGCCTGGAGAGAGAGCACAGCCCACTCGTTCTCTAGAAACTGGGATCTGAAAGGGACACAGGGGCAGTGTTGGGCTGAGGGAGGGGCTCCAGGGGCCAGCCAGGTTGGCAGAGGGATGGATGAGACCCCCCTGCCCGCTCTTACTGCCACAGCTGTGTATCAGGAGCTGGGCTTGGGCCTGGCTGATCGGTGGGGGACATGGGGGCTGGAGCCGCTCCCCACACCGGGGGGCCAGGGTCCTGGGTGCCAAGGACCCTTCATGGGATACCAGCTCTAACATCTGCCAAGTGTGCTCAACAATCCCATCCTTCCCTGGCTGAGCTCTTAGGAGCCTCAGTGGGGTAATGTTGGGGAGAGAAAACATCTGGGCATCCACACACCACCCAAAAATGGGGGTACACTTGCATTTTGATTCTAATAACCTCATATTCACAGCGCTTGGGAGCTGGTGAGGTACCTCTCCATCCATTCGCTTGTCTCTGAGGGAGGCAGAGGGCTTACTCATCCATCTGACAGATGAGCAGACCAAGGCTTGAGAAGGTGGAATGGCCGGTGTGCAGGTGTCCGGCCAACTAGATATGATGGGGGGGACGATTCAGGATGGGGACCCCTCTTGCTGCTGTGTCTGGGGAATGCTCCTAGGGAAGAGGGGCCATGACCTTATGGGTAAGAGAACCCTGAGCTGAGGCTTATTTTCAATCATGAGTCTGCCTCTAATTTACTGGGCCACCCTGTGTGGATCCCTTTGTGAACCCCAACTTTACTATCTGTAAAATGGGGATCAGAATAATTCTGCAGATGCTGAAATGCCCCATGAGAGGTATTGCCCTCTTTAGCTTCCCTCTGTGGAGGACCCACATGGGAGATTTCAATCTCCAAGAACATCAGACCTGGAAGGACCATCCACACTCTCTATTTATAACCCAGATGGTGGAACCAACACCCAGAGAGAAATAGCCATAGGGAGAGGCAGTGGCAAAGCCAAGGTAGGGGACCAGACCGGGTGCAGGGGCCAAAAGCCAAGTCTGGGAAGTTGGGGGAAGGCAGGTCTCCAAGCTGGGGGGTGACGGGCATAGGGAGAGGGACAGGCTTCCCCTCCTCCTCCTCCAAGCCATCCCAGCGGCAGGCGCGCACATGTTCTGGTGCATGCCGCAGGCCTCCACCCCCGCACTGCCACCCCCACACAGGCTGAGACACACTGACACTCCACTGAGCCTCCCGCCTGCCCGCCTGCCTCCCTGCACAAGCACACAGTGACACTGCTGCCGGCACCCCTGCAGTCTGGGGGCCCAGCCCTCTATGGGGGGTGAGGGCAGAGCCTTGGAATGCAATGCCTGCATCCTGTTATGTGCGCGCACACACGCACACACGCACATACACACACCGGCTCCAACAGGGCATCCGGCCCACGTCTACCTCCCAGTGTAGGGAGAGCGAGATGATGCTGGCTGGACTTCTGGGCTCCCCCCG